GCAACCTCCAGCAAGAATTCCTTTGATTATCTTAATCGCAGGAAACAAACTGAGTGTTGTTGGAGTGGGGGGTGGGGTGGGAGGGATGGGGTGACTGGGTGATGGACACTGGGGAGGGTGTGTGCTCTGGTAAGCGCTGTGAATTGTGCAAGACTGTTGAATCTCAGATCTGTACCTCTGAAACAAATAATAATGCAATCTATGTTAAGAAAAAAAAAAGAAGAAGAAGAAGAAGGAGGAGGAGGAGGAGGAGGAGGAGGAGGAGGAGGTAGCAGGAGGGGAAGAATGAAGCGGGGGGAAATCAGAGGGGTAGACGAACCATGAGAGACGATGGACTCTGAACAACAAACTGAGGGTTCTAGAGGGGAGGGGGGTGGGAGGATGGGTTAGCCTGGTGGTGGGTATTGAGGAGGGCCCATTCTGCATGGAGCAGTGGGTGTTGTGCACAAACAATGAATCATGGAACACTTCATCTAAAACTAATGATGTAATGTATGGGGATTAACATAAGAATAAAATAAAAGAAAAAAAAAAGAATTCCTTTGATTAAAGGTAACTCTTACTACATTGAACTTCACCATTTCGGGGCACCTGGGGGGTGGCTCAGTCGTTAAGCGTCCGCCTTCGGCTCAGGTGACGAGCCCAGGGCCCTGGGATCGAGCCCCACATCGGGCTCCCTGCTCCGCGGGAGGCCTGCTTCTCCCTCTCCCACTCCCCCTGCCTGTGTTCTCTCTCTCGCTGTCTCTCTCTGTCAAATAAATAAATAAAATCTTTAAAAAGTAAATAAATAAATAAATAAATAAATAAATAAATAAATAAATAAATAAATAAATAAATAAAATAAACTTCACCATTTCAACATGGACCTTTAATGGTTTCCTTCCCAACCAAGCCTTTCTCCTTGCCTCCTCCTTACCCGCGTGAATCCCTGATCCCACTTCACAACATCCCCCCCCCCACACACACACACCAGGCTGAAAACTGTTCTCTCTAAACCATAAATCCTGAGCATCAGGAAAGTACACGAGGAAACACAGACGAGAGAGAGAGAGAGAGAGAGAGAGAGAGAGAGAGAGAGAGACCAAGCAAATAATGTGGCTCTGAAGGCTGGACATCGATCGAGTTGAGAGAAAGGACCAGACATCACAAACTCGAAAAGAAGGTTTTCCTTTAAAGCTGATCTCTTCCTGAGTTGGCTAAACTACGTTCTTTACTGGTACGGCCTCCACTCAAGAGTGCGACGATCAAAAGAAGGTTTCGCAGTAAACACTTCACGGGTGCATCTATTAAAAAAAAAAAAGAAAAGAAAAGAAAAAAAAGGGCGCCTGGGTGGCTCAGTTGGTTAAGCGACTGCCTTCGGCTCAGGTCATGATCCCGGAGTCCCGGGATCGAGTCCCGCATCGGGCTCCCTGCTCGGCAGGGAGTCTGCTTCTCCCTCTGACCCTTCCCCCCTCTCATGTGCTCTCTGTCTCTCTCATTCTCTCTGTCTCAAATAAATAAATAAAATCTTTAAAAAAAAAAGTTCACGGGTGCAGGCTTCACATTGGTTTTTCAAGTACACGTATTTCAGGGCACCTGGCTGGCTCGGTCGGAGGAGGCCCACGCGACCGCGACTCTTGATCGGCGGGCGTCGTGAGTTCCAGCACCGCACTGGATGGGTGTACAGATTACATACACAAGCAGACAGGCAAAAGGAATTAGAATCGCTATGGTGATTTCGAAGAAAACAAAACAAAACTCAGGAAACAAAGTCGTCCTCTCCGGGCCCGTTTCATGCTTATGTATAGAGGCGATAGAGACCCTGTGATGTTGGCAGACAAAAGAGACAGGTCGGTGGATGGAACGCCACAGATACCCAAACAGATAGGCCCAAGCCCGACAGAAGTTTGACAAATGCGCAAAGGCCATTGGAAGGAGGAAAGACGGCCCACCTCCCCACGAAATCAGAGGGCAGGCATCAGACATCCACAGACCCAACACGCAGGCAAGCAGGCAGACAAAGAAACAAGAAAGCTGGGGCGCCTGGCTGGCTCAATCCGTGAACCGTCCGCCTGCCTTCGGCTCAGGCCCTGAGCTCAGGGTCCGGGGATCCAGCCCCACATCGGGCTCCCTGCTCGGCGGAGACTCTGCTTCTCTCTCTCTCAATCTCTCTCTCTCTCTCTCTCTCTCCCTCCCTCCCCCCTCCCTCCCCCCCACCCCTCCTCTCAAATAAATAAAAGTCTTTTAAAAAGAATAATTTAAAAAAAAAAAAAAAGGAAGAAAAGAACGTCACTCACTCCCCTTCCGGCATAGGGAGGACATCTTCGGGGGGGGGCGGGGGATGGGGGGGATGCCTCTCGGGAGAAAAGGGGGAGATTCAGCGAGTCAGCGCACCCTCCTTGCACCTGTGTGTGTGTGGGGGGGGGTGGTGGTTTGTGTGTTTCCTTGCCGCTGCTCGTTTTTTACAAGTGTATATAGAGTTCAAAACAGTATGCTGGTTTCCTTTATATCTAAGTCTTATCTCGGGTTTGGGTTCTGATGGGAGGAGGGAGGGCCACCTTTTCTTCCGACATGGTGGAGAAGGAGAAGAGGGATGCAGGCCTGTGCATATTCTTTTCCGTCGTGGGGTGAGCAGAGGACTCGGATTCAGCTCTTGCTGGATGGGATCTAATTTCTCTGTAAACAATCAGGCAAGATATCAGGCGAACAGAGGGCGAGCAAAGGTTAGCAGAACATGGACAAGATTGGCTATGGGTGCTGGAGTTTCCAAAGCAAGGATTTCATCAGAGGCACGTGAATGTCAAAGATTTCCAGGGACCATGTTCATGGATGACTTGGGGTATAGGTCATTTCAAAGTTACGGTGCTACCACCCGGTCACTTGAGCATACTGTCTCCAGCTCACGGCTGCAGATGCGATATGGGGCTCCTCCAGGGATGGAATTGTGCCAGAGAAAGGGAGACAGCAGCCTGTAATTGAGCCTAAGGTGTGTCTGAGAGAGTGACTCTCTAAAGTGCCTTGAGGCAGAAGGAGACCAGCTAGATTTGTCTTTGCTAGGTATTTGTGGCAATGGGGTCGGTGTGGCTGGTGGGTGTTGTCTGTTTATTTTCTAGATTCAGAGAAAGAACTCTTCAAGTGGAAGTATTTGCACAAGGGGTCTGGCAGGATGGGAGGGTGCAGGGGTCGGTCCATTTAACAAGATAACAGGAGGATCAGGCCTTTTAAGAACTAGGCAAAGAGAGGAGTTTAGCTTTGGTCATCACAGCACCTGGCACCTCAGCAGAAACAACAGAAGGTTCCCAGGATGAATTGAGTTGCAGGAGTCAGCGTGAGCAGACCCCACCACCCTCAGCCCTTATCCCTCAGCGCCCCCCCCCCCGCCCCCCAGGCACACACACCCGGGCAGGCAGCGGCTATAGTCCACTCCGAGCTCCAGATCTGGGTCCCGCCCCCCCACCCCCACCCCCACCCCCACCCCCACAGGGCTCCCCTGTCCTCTTCTCAGCCAGAGATGTATATGGGAGGGTGGTCCCAGAACAAATCTCCCCTCATCCACGGAAACCTTGCCAACACTTCGACCACTTTGCCTGAGCTACCAACTCATCTGTACCCGTGCGTGATTTTTTCCCTATGGACCAGGGGCCTAGTTACCAACTTAGGATGGACAGCCCCCCCCCCCCCCCCCAGCCTACTGTTCCAATTCGACCAGAGGACTTCAGTTGGGGGGGGATGGGGGGGCTGGGGCTGGGGCTGGGGCGGCTGATGGGACGTTCAGGGTGATCCATTCTAATGGGCCTCATTCAATCGCTTCATTCAAATGCAGAAAGCTTTCTGTTAAAGTCAGAGCCTGGAGCTTCCCTCCATTCAATGGCTTTCCTCAACTCCCCCTAACCCTTAGGCTGCAGCTTGCAAACTTCGGAGAGAGATGAGGGAGGGAGGGAGGGAGGGACGGAAGGGAGGGAGGGAGGGAGGGAGGGAGGGAGGGAGGGAGGGAGGGAAGGGAGGGAGGGAGGAGGGGAAGGGGAAAGAGGGTGTCTGAAGAGCTCACCTCATCTGGGGGCAAAAAGAGTCCCCTCCTTTTCCTAACCCACGAAACTCCAGTAAACCCTTTGGGAATCATGAATGTGGGGGATGATGTCTTACTATACTGCCTTCCAGGGATGGGTGTGCAGGTAGGAGGGTGTGGCATGGTGTGGCTGGCTGAGTCTGAGGAGGACCTTGAACACATGATGGTGGTATCTTAGCGGTCAGAGGCCAAACACAAGCATGGAGTGATAAGGGCTAAGGGCTAAGGGCTAAGGGAGGCCTGACAGGGACCGTTCTAACTCATCCACCGAGTTATGGGCCCAGCAAGCACACTCCTCTAAATCAACATTAACAGTTTATTGATTGTTGGGGCACCTGGGTGGCTCAGTCATTAAGCATGTGCCTTCGGCTCAGGTCATGATCCCAGGGTCCTGGGATCGAGCTCCGCATCGGGCTCCCTGCTCCGCGGGAAGCCCGCTTCTCCCTCTCCCACTCCCCCTGCTTGTGTTCCCTCTCTCGCTGTGTCTCTCTCTGTCAAATAAATAAATAAATACAATCTTAAAAAAAAAAAAAAAAAACAGTTTATTGATTATCCATCGACCTGTCCTCCCTCTCCCACCTGCTTCCCAAGGGAAATCCTCGGTCTCATTCCACGTAGTCACTGGCTGTTTTCGCACACCACCTTCCTGTCCAGTAAGAGGAGGAAGGAAGATGGACAAACAGGAACCAGCCCCACAGATGGCACCTCTGCACAGAGGGGTGAGTGTGAGTCTCATTGGGCCAACTGTGACTCTGAGCCATGATCCCAGGGTTGTTTAAAATATGGAACAGAAGGAGCACCTGGGTGGCTCAGTCAGAACAGCACATGACTCTTGATCTCAGTCAGGGTCCTGAGTTCAAGCCCTACACTGGGACTACAGATGATGAAAAATGAATGAATGAATGAATGAATGAATGAATGAATGAATGAATGAATTTTTAAAAATAAAGTATGTAATGTTTATCTCTTTAAAAAAAAAAAATGGAATGGAGGGGCGCCTGGGTGGCTGCCGGTTGAGCATCTGCCTTCAGCTCAGGTCATAATCTCAGGGTGCTGGGATCGAGCCCCACCCCTCTGGGGCTCCCTGCTCAATGGGGAGTCTTCTCCCTCTCCCTCTGCCCCTCCACCCACCCATGCGTGCAAGCTCTCTGTCTCTCTGTCTCTCTGTCTCTCTGTCTCTCTGTCTCTCTCTCTCTCTGTGTGTTTCTCTCTCTGTCTCTGTCTCTCTCTGTGTGTCTCTCTCTCTGAAATAAATAAATAAAAACAAACAATCAAACTTCAAAAAGGAAAAGGGCAGGGACATTTATGATTATTCATGGCGAAAGTTGGAGCACGTATATTCAGGAAACATATGTACCATAGATTCCCATGTTTACTTCGGGGTGGAGACCTGACATCTGAATGAGGCAAAACTGAGTCCCTGATGTCAGGAGGTTATCTGAGGACAAGGAGAAGAGGCTGTGGGCATGCTCTGAGAGCTGGTACAACCTGGATGGGGTCTTAGGCTCCTTTTCTCAGGTAAGGAATCAGGACCTCGCTTCTTCATAGGCTGCAGCCATTATCAGTTGACCTTGAGTCCAGACTTCTGCAGAGACAGCCAGTATTTGGTAGCAGGGCCTGAAAAGACACAATAGCTGACTAGGGGGAAACAGTTCCCTGAAAAACCAGCTTTAAGCTTTCTGCTAGCATCAACCTCATTAACCTTATGGGGCACGGTTTCAATCCCCACCCCCACCCCCACCCCCACCCCCACCAAGTGAGGATCATTCCTCAGTCTTAGGGAATTGGGATGATGATGGCTGTGGCTATTCTTTCATCTCCTCAGGGGAGGTAGGTTTTGGGTAAACGACAGTTTCTGTAAATCTTAGCTGTAACATGGCTATGTTCAGGGCTAAACAGAAGTTTTTAACCTACAGGTTAAAAGGGAATAAAAATAACAGGGAGTCAGACATGCTACATTTTTCCCTGTTAAAATTTCCCCTTGTCCATCCTGCATTCCATTTCTATGACACATGGGCAGAGGTCTGCCTTCTTTATTTAACTGCTTCAAGCTGAATTAGGGTGCAGTAGAGGCTTTGGAATGGAAGGATCTGAGACACTGCAGGTCGCAATTTTTGGTCCCTTGTGCTAATGGAGGGGGTCTCAGAGATAGTTCCTTATCTGAGAACTTGGTTATTTTTCTACATGGTTTGGGACTACATGACACCATTGATTTTATCCCCAAGTGTAGTCTAAGGAATAGTAACAGTAGAGTCAAACCCAATTCTCTCATTCTCTCTCAAATTGATCTGATATCGGTGGGTATCCAAGAATACAGATCAGTAAATTAGTCTGAGCCCCTCCCCTGGGGGGGGGGCGGTAGGTTGTGGTGGTGAAGGGCTTCTGGTAGCCAAGTAGCTTAGTGTTTGATTTTATTTACATGGGTTCTTTTTTATTTTTTTTTTTCTTTAAAGATTTCTATTAAGTAATCTCTACACTCAATGTGGGGCTCGAACTCACAACCCCGAGATCTAGAGTCGTATGTTCTACCAGCTGAGCCAGCCAGGTGCCCCTATTTATATGGGTTCTTATTTTCCAAAGAGGAGTTAATACAGGTGCAGCAAGGTGGAATTAAGGATCATAGACTCTGCCTCATTCAGCAAGTGATCTTGTAGTTAATAAGAGGCATTTCTATGGAAACAAAAGGAAAACATGGTTAATGGTTGGAACAAGGGATACACCTGGTGTCTAAGTCCAGAGGGCTGCCAGTGAGAAGGTCTCTAGATGTCAGGCTTGAAGCATCCTCCAATAGAGTGGGAGTGGGCAGGGGCAATCTGACTAATTTTTCTGGCGTATAGTTCAAATGTCTCATTTTGAGTGACTCATAGAGCAACAGGCACAAAGATTGTCTATATATGAGTTATTGTGGTCATTTCCCTGAAATTTATTTCAAGTTGTCCAGCTTTCATTTGCCAGACTTCAGGAAAAAGGACAGTTTTAGTTCTTAATGATTGTAAGATAAGAGAATGGGAGAATGTTCTGAAACAAATAATGCAATATATGTTAAGGGGAAAAAAAGAAGAAGAAGAAGAAGGAGGAGGAGGAGGAGGAGGAGGAGGAGAAAAGGAGGAGGAGAAAAGAAGAAGGAGAAGAAAAGAAGAAGACGAAAAGAAGAAGAAAAGAAGAAGGAGAAGAAAAGAAGAAGAAGAAAAGAAGAAGAAGAAGAAGAAGAAGAAGAAGGAGAGAAGAAGAAGAAGAAGAAAAGAAGAAGAAGAAGAAGAAGAAGAAGGAGAGAAGAAGAAGAAGAAGGAGAGAAGAAGAAGAAGAAGAAGAAGAAGAAGAAGAAGAAGAAGAAGAAGAAGGAGAGAAGAAGAAGAAGAAGAAGAAGAAGAAGAAGAAGAAGAAGAAGAAGAAGAAGAAGAAGGAGAAGGAGAGAAGGAGAAGAAGAAGAAGAAGAAGAAGAAGAAGAAGAAGAAGAAGAAGAAGAAGAAGAAGAAGAAGAAGGAGAAGAAGAAGAAGAAGGAGAAAAGAAGAAGAAGAAGAAGAAGAGGAGGAGGAGGAGGAAGAAGGAGGAGGAGGAGGAGGAGGTAGCGGGAGGGGACGAATGAAGCGGGGGGAAATCGGAGGGGCGGACGAACCATGAGAGACGATGGACTCTGAACAACAAACTGAGGGTTCTAGAGGGGAGGGGGGTGGGAGGATGGGTTAGCCTGGTGGTGGGTATTGAGGAGGGCCCATTCTGCATGGAGCACTGGGTGTTATGCACAAACAATGAATCATGGAATACTTCATCTAAAACTAATGATGTAATGTATGGGGATTAACCTAAGAATAAAAAAATAAATTAATTAAAAAAAAGAGAGAGAATGGGAGAATGTTGGAAACCTTAGTTTGAAGAGTCACAGTCAGATACTCAAGGAAACCAGAAGGATCCAGGATCCAGTCCAGTTTTATAGGCAAACAATAAACGTTCAAAGATAATTAATCTAACACTCACAAAAGTGTGTTATTGAAATGTAATCTTTCTCTCTAAAGTCACCTTCATTCCTGTCAAAGATAGCCAAAAGAAGATTAATTTGTTTGTAAAACAAGTCCAGTTTTAACAAACTTGGCCCAATCATCTACGTAGGGACAGCAAGAATAGCAATTGACCATATATGGGGTCTTTCTTCTCTTTTCTTTTTCCTTTCCTTCTTTTAAATCTGCTTTGATGGAGCTTTTTACAAGGAATTTTAGATTGATCCTTTAACTGCCTTTTTAAAGCCGAGAACCAAGCCAAATATTGGCCATCAGATTCGCCTGCAAGACTTGTAGATTTGCGGAGGGGTAGACGAACCAGGAGAGACGATGGACTCTGAAAAACAAACTGAGGGTTCTAGAGGGGAGGGGGGTGGGAGGATGGGTTAGCCTGGTGGTGGGTATTGAGGAGGGCGCATTCTGCATGGAGCACTGGGTGTTGTGCACAAACAATGAATCATGGAACACTACATCTAAAACTAATGATGTGATGTACGGGGATTAACATAAGAATAAAAAAAATTACAAAAAAAAAAAAGACTTGTAGATTTGGGTGAATTCCTCTCTTCTTTGAGGGCCTCCAAATTTCCTGAAGTTCCTGCATCTGCCAGGAGGTGGTACTCTTCACTCACCTGGTAAGGTTGAGGGGACCTCTCTAAGCAAGGTTATCAGGCCAACATTTCTAAGGGGCTTTACTGGCTCCATAAAGTCAATCTGACTTTCTTAAAGCAGTCTCACCATATCTGAGTCTACGCATGTGTCTCTTCGAGATGACAGTCCAGGGGCACCTGGCTGGCTCAGTCGGTAGAGAGCACGACTCTTGATCTCAGGGTTGTGAGTTCGAGCCCCACGTTCAGTGTAGAGATTATTTAAAAAATAAAATCTCGGAGGAGCGCCTGGGTGGCTCAGTCGTCAAGCGTCTGTCGGCCTTCGGCTCAGGTCATGATCCCAGGGTCTTGGGATCGAGCCCCACATCGGGCTCTCTGCTTGGCCGGGAGCCTGCTTCTCCCTCTCCCGCTCCCCCTGCTTGTGTTCCCTCTCTCGCTGTGTCTCTCTCTGTCAAATAAATAAATACAATCTTAAGAAAGAAAAAAAGAGTACACTAACAATCCAAGAAAACCTTGTCATTTTAACATAGAAAACCCAAATCTCAATCTTATACCAGTGTGCTTTTCTTCTTCTTTTTTTTATTCTTATGTTAATCCCCTACATTACATCATTAGTTTTAGATGTGGTGTTCCATGATTCATTGTTTGTGCACAACACCCAGTGCTCCATGCAGAATGGGCCCTCCTCAATACCCACCACCAGGCTAACCCATCCTCCCACCCCCCTCCCCTCTAGAACCCTCAGTTTGTTGTTCAGAGTCCATCGTCTCTCATGGTTCGTCCGCCCCTCCGATTTCCCCCGCTTCATTCGTCCCCTCCCGCTACCTTCTTCTATTTTTTTTTTCTTCTTCACATAGATTGCGTTATTTGTTTCAGAGGTACAGATCTGAGATTCAACAGTCTTGCACAATTCACAGCGCTTGCCAGAGCACCTACCCTCCCCAGTGTCTATCAGCCAGTCACCCCATCCCTCCCACCCCACCCCCCACTCCAGCAACCCTCAGCTTGTTTCCTGCGATTAAGAATTCCTCCTATCCGTGAGATCATAGGATACATGTCTTTCTCTGTTTGACTTATTTCGCTCAACATAATACCCTCCAGTTCCACCAGTGTGCTTTTCAAACTGCCTTCTCCCAAGCTCAGTCAGTCCTGACCATGCATAAAATTCCTTTTCAAAAATTCTCCTTCACAAACCCCTTCCACAATTTCCTTTTTCATTCAGACTCGGTCTTAAAGTTTTCTTTCTTTAAGTACCCAGTCCCGTTTCAGTACACCATTACTTCCTTTTCCCTCAACAAAAAAAATGTTTTCTCATTTCTTGTACCTCTTTTACACGTCTCCTACCTTCCCACACACGGAGTTGTTTTTGTTATCATTTTGTAGCAGTCCCAATTCCATGTGGCAGAATTTTAATTCTTAGAAATCTCAGTCTCTGGTGAAACGTTAGTAGTAACCAATGGCGCACTCTCTATTACACCAGAATTCTTTAGATTGGCAAATGTATGAATATATTTCATAAATTTTATTTATTTGACAGAGAGAGACACAGCGAGAGAGGGAACACAAGCAGGGGAAGGGACAGAGGGAAAAGAAGGTTCCCCAATGAACAGGGAGCCCAATGCGGGGCTCGATCCCAGGACCCTGGGATCATGACCTGAGCCGAAGGCAGACGCTGAACGACTGAGCCACCCAGGCACCCAAACGTGGTTGGTTGGTTGGTTGGTTTTTATAAAGGTGATGGAGAGGTATATTTTGATAACCACAAATACAGGCTCACTGTTGTGACGGGAGCGTGGCACATTCCACTGCCCACCCAACGGCTTGTAACGCAGGGAGAACCGAATCCAAGTGCTTTTATGACAAAGAAAAGAAAGAAAAGGAAAGAAAGAAAGAAAGAAAGAAAGAAAGAAAGAAAGAAAGAAAAAGGGAAAGAAAGAAAGAAAGAAAGAAAGAAAGAAAGAAAGAAAGAAAGAAAGAAAGAAAGAAACGCAAAGTTGATTATTTGTATTATGTGTGACATTGATAGCTCCAAAACCACGTCTTTTTAAAATAAACCAACAACCTTGAATTGGCTTTAACGCCAAAGAAGTTGCACCTGCGTCCACTAAAAAGTCAATCGATTGTTTTCCCCCATCAGACTCCTTGGGGAAAGTCTGAAGCGGGCGGTCTAAGATCAGCGGAGCCCTCGGGCCCCTTCCTGCTAGTTTGGGAGGTGCTCCAATTTAAACCTCATAAGGAGGTGGCCCAAGGGCTTGGGCCCAAGGGCAAGGGCTTTTGCTCCTTGATAAGGGGGTGGGGAGGAGGAGGAGGAGGAGGAGGAGAAAGGGGAGCCCATGGCACCCGGGGGGGGGGGGGCGGGGGGGCGGGGGTAGGGAAGGGCGGCTGAGACGGCGGCAGGGGAGTAGAGCACTCCAGGCACACACACCAGTGGTGCAGAAACGGGGCAGGGGAGGCGGCAAGGGAGCCATTGGTAAGGCCCAGGGCACATATACATTTACAGTTTTGGACGAACCTTTTCTTTTTTTTCTTCTCCGCCTCCGCCTCCGCCTCCGCCTCCGCCTCCGCCTCCGCCTCCGCCTCCGCCTCCGCCTCCGCCTCCGCCTCCGCCTCCGCCTCCGCCTCCGCCTCCGCCTCCGCCTCCGCCCCTTTCTTCATCTCCTTCTGCTTAATAGGCTTTGTCTGTGGTGGCTTTTCAGCCCTCCGGAAGCCAGTGGGTTGGGCATCGGTTCTGGTGCCTGTACTTGGGGAGGAGGAGGAGTGGATTTCAGATTTCTAGCATCGGCCTGTCTTCCTCCTCTTCTTCATTATTTTGACTGTTGGGAAGTGGGGGTAAGGTCAGGTGTGTTAAATTTTTGTCTATCTCTGGGCCGTCCCTTGGGTCCCTTACCTTGAGGCATCTTTATTGTGGAGTGACATAAGAGTCTGAATGTAGGGAATTTCATCCCAGATCATGTGAGCTTGAAAAACTGGGTTTATTCTTATCTGAGTTTTACCATGCCCGATTTTTACGAGCACCTGCCTCTAAACTCTTTAAGTAGGGGCACCTGTGTGGCTCAGGCAGTTAAGTGTCTGCCTTGCGTTCACATCATGATCCTGGGGTCCTGGGATGGAGCCCCACATCCGGCTCCCTGCTCCGCGGGGAGTCTGCTTCTCCCTCTCCCAATGCCCCCCCACCCCCAGCTCGTGTGCTCTCTCACTCGCTTTCTTTCAAAGACATAAATAGAATCTTTAATAAAAATAAAACTCGGGGCACCTGGATGGCTCAGTGGTTAAGCGTCTGCCTTTAGCTCAGGTCATGATCCGAGGGTCCTGGGATCAAGCCCCTGCATCGGGCTCCCTGCTCGGCGGGAAGCCTGCTTCTCCCTCTCCCACTCCGCCTGCTTGTGTTCCCTCTCTCGCTGTGTCTCTCTCTGTCAAATAAATAAATAAAATCTTTAAAGAATAAAATAAATAAAATAAAATAAAATAAAATAAAAATAGAACTCATTAAATAGAGCTCCTTTACAAATGGATGTTAGCAATAGCACCCGGAGGTGGAGGAAATACCTCACATGTATAACACATACGGACACATAGACACAAACAAGATGCAAACAAATTTTAGCCTTTGTTTCAGTCTTATTTGTGGAGAGGACATGAATGGAGAGGACACGAAAGACCCAATGTTCAAATCTCCCTCTTTTAGTAAAACAAATGCAACTGCGAAGCAGCATTACCGTGTACAGATCCCACCC